TTATTTACTTAAAAACTATATTTGATTCGAATATGTCCGGTACTGATCGAAATAAGAATATTTTCTTTTTGATTCTCTTAATATTTGCTTTACTTGAATATATTTTCAAATATTTTCAGTTACTAAGGCAAATTAGCTTGCGATGCGAATCTAGTTGATAAATATTATAGACATTCATCTATACACATTTTTGTCCGATTTCGTTGTTTGATGCTCAAACTTGCTTCATGACAGTTTTCAAGGGCACTGATTCTGGATACTGTCCTGTCAACCACACAAAGTAGAATATTTCGTCGCCAATTCAGATCGAACATTGTGGTATAATGTATTTTTTACTTCCTACATTAACATCAATACATTTAATTACCTTGCCGGTATCCATATTCACAGCAGTGATGAAATAGAGAAATTTGGATTTTTGATAAATTGAAGAACCAGATACTATGTAAAAGAGTACGTCGTTTTAAATTCATTGCAATGCAAAAAGAAACTAAATGAAATGTTTTCATTTAACTTGGTGTTGCCAATTCACTTGTCCATACTGTTATTTCCACATTGTCGATAGCAAATACGAGAGGCATGCTAGACATATAAACTATACCTTTGTCATCTATATTAGGTGTTGTCATATCATCATTTGCAACAATCAACGAAGGTAGATGCCAATTCCAACGTAGTTTAATTTCTTGTATTGAGACGTCATATGATGATACAACATACCTCCATGGTAAATCAGTCATACTTTGCCACGGTCGTATAATTACTTGCTTTTGCTTGTCTAAAACAAAATCTCTACCAGCATCATTAGGTTGTATATAATTGTTGATAAGATTTTGCCCATTATGATTAAATTTCAATAGATTACGATCGCCACCTATCCATAATATATCATCCGTATTTATATCACATCGATAGTGTCTACTCATACCAGCACCAAAAAAATGCCTGTTTATCCATTGCACAGTCAGCGTCTTTTTGTTCAAAACAGCTGGTACTGAGTCAAATTCATCATCGATTACAGCCGTTACCAAAAGATCATATTTCTCGTTCTCTGTGATTCGACAAATTTTCACTGTATAAGATTCATCACCTGTCCATGAAACGGTATAGAACAGTACTCCTTGTGAATTGGAAACAATGTTGGAAACACCAACTGGCAACATGTCTGGCACAAGCTCCAAACAGAGCTTCCAGCAAACAATACCATTTGAAGTAAGACAAATTAGAAAATCAGCTGCAATTAATAAATATTATCGTTATCAATTTAAGGTAGATTTTTTTCTGATATAAAATTTTCTCTGAAATTAATATAATCTCAAAATATTGTAAGACATTTTGAAGTAAAATATGACACATTATCTTACTATTTTGTTAGAACTCTGTTGTATACTTAGATATACAATCGAACAATTTTTGTGAGGAGAAAAAATAATATCTATCATTGTATTAAATAGAATAATTTACCTCTATGAGATCTTGACAGACTTAGGAAGAAGTAAATATCATCATTAATACTAGCACGTAAACCGAATTGAGTGAGATCTTGTGATGTTAAGTTATATTCATAGGTCCATGATTTCTGGGTATAATTAATTGGCATAGATAGTTTGATGTGATAAGTATTTTGAGAATTGCCTTAATCTGCGGACCATAGCGAATCAGACGTGTCGTTGTCGATTCTGGCATTAACAACCATCCATCCATATGAATTAATACAAAGAAACAACATTAATAAATAATAATCCATCTTACTGTCAATGACACGCTAATGTACAAATGAAAGTCGTTTCTTCACATTTACATCGCAGTGAACAACATCTGCTGATATTTGCATAACATATTAGTTCGCCGCTTGCTTCTATGACTACTTATCATGTGATGAGAGTAAATCAGAGTGAGACTGTATTTTTTTGTAGCAGATGGTTCTAATATATCGTTAGATGCACTCTCTTGGAAGCATATGTATCTGAAAGTTTCACCAACGGCAACTTCTACTTGTGTATACAAAAATTTTACTACATGGTGGAGAATCATTCTCCTGTTCTCCGACCAAATGTTGTATTATACTTTCTTCACTCAGATTCTTTTGATCTATTATTTGAAGTTTGCCAATACTTGGAATATTGTAGTTGTGCAGAAAGAAAGAGCAAATAATGCTCATAAGCTGAGACTAGTATCTGACTAAAGGTTCGTAATTGTGGTTTCTCCATTTGAGCCAGTCAACTATCAAGAAAAAAGTTAGTAGTAATTGTATCTATTCTATTTCATCTCATCGTAAGCACTTTCTACAGAACACCTCGAAATAGCTTATTATCTGTTGAAATCATCGTTGTTTACACTAGAATATCAATTTTCACGTGTTCGGTGCTAAATATTAATATGAGTAATAAATTCAAAAAAATATGTTTCTATGAAGAATCCTTGAGGATTATATTATAAGTTACATCATTCGATACAGTTTTGTCCGTCGATTTTAAACATCATTTTTTTTTCTCATAAATAAAATCATATCTAAACCGAGAAAAAGCAGAAAACATCGGATTGATAGAGAACATACACGAAAACACTCTAGTGATGTTTGTATGATTTTACAACTACGTTGTGAAGTATAGTGAACAACCATCCGATGAAATCGTTTTTTCGAGATTTAAACCCTTGTCATAGCTAGTACTAAAGCTTCTATGGTGCTGCATTTAGGTGTGGATATGATATATCTAAGTGCGATTCGACCTTCTCAGATCATCAGTCTTCTAAACGTTTTTAACAATCATATTATTGACATCTAGATTATTGTTGACGTATGAAACATACATTCATAGATATTAAATTAGACATGATTTTTCTAGAGCAGGAAATTTCATCACTGAATGATGATCAAAACTTTTGATTTCTGGTCAGTGTTAAGACAGTAATTTAAAGTCTATTTTCATATTTTCATATATATGTTTAATTCGACTGACTTTACGATGTCTATAGATAGAGAACTGTATGAACTACACAGAAGTCAATAGGATATTTTGCTAAAGATTTTATTTCGCGTAGCCTTGATCATAATACAATATACTAAAAATTTATATTTTGTAAGTTCCTATGTGAAAAATCATCACCAGTTTAAAAAGGAATAATAATTAATACTATGCATTTATTTTTTTTATCGGATTATCACTTTCAGTGCGTAGTTTAGTTTTTCTGTTGTACTGATTTGAAAATGTGTTTAAGTTTATCGTTTATTCTTGAAAGATATCATCATAAATAAGTATCTCTAGTTCTCAAAAGTATAGTCAAATTTCGATATTCCAGAATAAAATTCCCTGCTAAAAATATTGATAGAAACGCTTTTATTGTGTTCTTTTTCCTTTTTTTTTATCGATAGTTAAACAAATAGAGTGAATTATCGTCTACTATCATCAATTTATGGATCCGTCCTCGTCACTGTATGAGAAAGAAAGAAAAAAACAGATGTTCGCATGTTATATAGTATAATAAATGTATTTTTTTTCATGCGAAATCGGTTTGAAACATCAGCTTGATTGACGAAGCATGACTATGAATAAACAAAAGAATATATACGATTAAAAAGTAATTTCATTCACGTCTTCTTTGTTATTCAAAATAATTCATTTATCTCAATATTGACTGCATTCAAAATCTATATATAATTAACAAGTATTAACTTTCTTCTTGTTTATTAATATGCCTTTCTAATATTTAATATTTTTAAGACATACAATCATTACACATTATGGAAAAGCAGAAGTCAAGAACGTTTGATAGTATTACCAATGAAGAAAAGAATACAGAAAGATCCAGCTCTGCAAAAAATGTAGATGCAGGACGATCTCGATCATCTCATACTCGTGTAGTTCAAAACTTCATTCTCATATGGTTGATGAATAATATTGATGAAATCGATGGCAGTGACCTTCGCAAGACAATGACACAATTACGACAAGTGATTAATACTGTGAATATATTTACTGATCTCGATGAATGCATGGATTTCGTTATAGACATAGTTCATGAGAAGATCTTCTTGATTTCTTCTGAAATATTTGGTCAAAAAGTAATATTCATCATACACGATATCGAAAATATTAGTACAATTTATATACTTTGTGAAAACAAAGACCAACATGAGCAATAGATTGAACAATGGCGCAAAGTTGCAGGTATTTTTACAGATATCACTTCGATCTGTGAAGCACTCAAACTAGCTGTTCATGAATGTGATAAAAATAATATTTCAATTAGTTTTGTTCCCACTAATGACGATACAAGAAAAACAAATCTCGCTCAATTAGATCAATCTTTCATGTATACTCAAATATTAAAAGAAAATTTTATTACCAATCAATTTCGAAGAAGAACATATCAGAGACTTTCTTAATTACTGTCGACAATCATTCATTGACAATACAGCCGAATTAAGAAATATTGATAAACTTGAAAAAGAATATCATCAACATACACCCATTTGATGGTATACCTATGAATGTTTTCTCTATTCAATGATCAATAAAGCATCAGGTACTATGGAAGTAGATCTTATTATTAAATTAGGCTTCTTTGTAAATGATCTTCAGAAACAAATTGCTCAATTACATTTGGAATAATACGGTAAAGATTGTCATTCAGATTTATTTATCCTCTATCGTAGTCAAGGTTTATCTCAAGCAAATTTTGACAAAACAATAAAAACGAAAGGTGGTTTATTTTCGTTTAATAATTTTTTATCGACAAGTACAAAGCGTGACGTTTCTTTGACCTTTACCCGTCGTAGTGTGAGAAAAGATTCTAACAAAGTAGGTATATTATTCATAATGATAATTGATCCTTCAATACTTTCGATACCTTTTGCTAACATTAATAATGTCAGTTACTATCCCGGTGAAGAAGAAATACGAAATGAAACATTTCCACATACTGTAGGTTGTTATCGATTGAGTAATTTATTAATTAAAATGGATCAATTTAACAAAGCAGAATAAGTATGTGAAATAATGCTCGATCAAACATCAAATGATGATGAGATAAAAAATATTTATCATATACTTGCCATGGTTAATGATAATCAAGGAAATTATACTCAAGCAATTACCTTTTATGAAAAATCAATTGAAATTCAACAAAATAATCCTTCTCATAATTATATTGATCTAGCTACTTCTTATAATAATATTAGTATCGAATATGATGAGATGGAAGAATATTCAGAAGCACTTTTCTATTATGAAAAAGCACTTGAAATCTATCAAAAAAATCTTGCTTCCAATCATTCTAATTTAAGTCGTTTTTACAACAATATTGGTTTGTTGTATCACAAGATGGGTTTGTATTCGAAAGCATTATCATCTTATGAAAAAGCAACTGAAATCTATCAAGAAACTCTTCCTTCAAATCATCCTAACTTGGCTACTTCTTACATCAATACTGGAATGACATTGAATATATTGGGCGAGTATTCAAAAGCACTTTCATTTTATGAAAAAGCACTTGAAATCGACGAAAAAACACTTCCTTCAAACCATCCTGATTTAGCATCTTGTTACATTAATCTTGGCGTGTTGTATAAGAACTTATGCGACTATTCAAAAGCAATTTTATATTATGAAAAAGCCCTTGAAATTCAAGAAAAATCTCTCTCTTCTGATCATCCAGCTTTAACTACTTCTTACAATAATCTAGGTTTGGTGTATGAGACTATGGGAGATGATTCAAAAGCATTTTTATTCCTTGAAAAAGCTCTGAAAATTCATGAAAAACTTCTTTCTTCTAATCATCCTCTTTTGGCTGTATCGTACGCCGGTATTGCCAAAGTTTATTACAATATGGATGATTACTCGAAAGCATTGCCATGCTTTGAACGTGCTGTTCATATTGGACAACATTCATTACCTTCTGATCATCCAAATCTTCAACAATATAACATAGGTTTGAAAATGCTCAAAGACAAAATGTAAATGATAATATATTTCTCTTCTAATATATAACAATAATTCATTCTTTATACATTTCTTAAACAACAATTTAGACAGAGAATAGAAATAATAACATGACATTGTAATGTTTTCACATTGTAACAAAAGTAGCAATATAAATTGATCATACATAATGTCAGAAAAATATGTCTTGAGTAATAGATTATAATGAGCATTTTCAAATCAGTCAACATGTGACAAAATAAAGTTTACAACAGAAATCACTTTTGTGACAGTATTAGAGACTGTTTCACATCATCATACTTACCACTTTTACACAGCAATTACCAATAATAGTGCGCATGCTGTAACTCAAGAGCACTCGACACATTCAGGCCAAATGGAAGATCTCATTGACAAACTAATAAATTTAAAATCTTACATGCTTACGGCATGCCAGGATCGAGATATTCGAATTTCAAGGTATATCCAGAATTGAAAATAATATTTTTTCACATAGATAAAGTTGTAGTTTCAAACGACATCAACAACAAATTATATACCAAATTAAAGTATGTCAAAGTTTGGATTTATTACTACCAAAATACTTAGAACAGTCCAAAAGTATGAAAGTGACACTTTAATTGTTTATGACAAATGTAAAGAAACTTATTCTCTGTATATTCTAATAGAGAAAATACAGTATTTGACGCTCAATCCAAAAAGCTTTTACTAGAAAGATACGATTTTCACCATTCTAAAGAGCAGATCAAGATGCATCAAATCGTCCATTACATATTATTCCGACCTATTTTTTATAAGTCGTGCAATTCATATTTTTAAGAATAAACCTATCCTATAAGTTGTTTATAATCAAGTTTTAATAGGCAAGTATACATTCAAACTACTAATCAAAGAGCTAGAATTTGTGAAAGGTTCAGATGGATATTACATGTTCTGATCAAGCCTTTAATACGATTGTCTAGTAATTTCTCCGGAAAAAGATGACTTTTCTTCTTTGTTTTTTTTCATAGAATAATGCATTTTCTCGATATATAGAAAATTGAATAAAAGTACTTTGAAAATCAATATTGTAAAAACCTATAATACACGATTTGATACAGTCTGATCTGCTCTTTACAATGTCAAAAACCGCATCTTTCTAGCAAAAATTATTCAAAAAATGTTCATTCTTCTTTTTTGTAATGAAAGTCGGTATTATTACTACATAGGTGAACAAAATAGATCTTGTTAAATAACATAGAAAAATAGAACATTTTTTTTCTCTATCAGAATATACAGAGAATAAATTTTTTTACTCTTTTTTGATAGGAATTAAAGTGTTACTCATACTTGTTTTGGACTTTCTTAAGACCGTCGTCTTCTTTTGCTAGAAAATAATGATTGTAGGCATTTTCGTAATAAAATCAAACATACTCAAACGATCAAGTCCTGCGATAAAATTTCTAGTCGGATCGAAATCTGGACCGTAACACCTCGGTTTCATTCTTGTTCATCTTGGAAAAAAATAATCTCGGAGTCCTTGTGTTCTTTTCATTTACATGATAACTTTTGTTCTCGTAATCCAATATTTAGATCAAGAAATCTTCTATATACCTATTAGCGTGCTTATTCATTATGTTGAGAAAGATCGTGTGTGAATCACCCATCTCCTTTTCATGTATTAAAAAGTATCAACAATCCAATGTCTCATGTAAAATGGTAGAAGAATATTGTCTGGCTACGAGGAGTTATCGAGACTTATTTTCTCTACGTGATTCATTTACTCATTTAGGATTCATTAGAATTCATCGATGGCATCAGTGTTCCAGAGTATCCACACTATCTTGCCCGCTTCCTTGACACTCCTACCATCACTCTCGCTCTCATTGCACGATTGTGTGAGATTTATTTCAAAATGCATTGGATTTATTAAAAATTCCAGAAAATTCAAAAAACAAAATCTCGGTCGCTACTGCGTTATCCTTCTCAGAAGTTCGATGGAGGGTAACACAAGAAAGCTGATTATGAGATCATGCTGTCTGACTTCTGAAAGATAACCTAATGGCGTTATTTCTGAGTTACTTAAGCAAAACCATTAAGTCAGGACAGTCCTGAAAGGACGCTTTGATCAAAGTCGTTGTACTCTTTGAGACAGACGAGAAAATCCGTCAAATCAATTTAGATATTGTGAGAGATAATTAATTGGTTATCACTCAAGTTGGTGAACTACGATCATTGTTATGTTTAAAGAAAATGACTCACAACTCAAGATTTTTAATAGAAAAGGTTTGGTTTATGCCCCATTAAAAATATTTTTCCGATTTCTTCCATGTTTTTCAGTAGAAGAAAGTGCTGAAAAAGTCATTTTTGAAGAAGTTTTAGGCTTTTTCCCGATGTTTTCCTGTCTTTGACAATGTACCATGGAATGTTCCGAGTAAATGATCCAAAACTCGAGATTTTCAATAGGAAAGATCTGGATTTTTTCATCAAAAGTGCTCTCTAGAGTTTACTGGCATTTTGAAAGAAAAAAAATTCAAAAAAGAACTTTTTTTAAAAAGTAGTCGGGTCTCCATAGGTTCATCCAACTTTAATTTATCCTACGAGAAATTAAAATTTTCAACTCTTCGTATAGAATTCTTAGGAAAAATAGAAATTTGATTTGCCTTGGAAATATTTAAAATTCTCCTGATTTTTAATTTACCCTATAACATATATCCGAAATTATTTATCCAAAAGTGATGTTTCATTTTAATTTGCTTTTAATCTTCTCAGAATATGCGTGTGAATGATAAAGAACATGTTTTGTTTGAGAATTATACTGAAACTTTCAGGTTCAGATTAAAAGACGCTCACCTACTAAAAGAACTTCCTTTGCTATATATTTTAGATGAAGTGTTTTTATAAGACCATTTTTTCACTCGTGTTCTTATTAGAAACAGCACTTTTAATAAGCACAAATCCTGTTATTCGAAAACTACCGCTAATTACTCTTGCAACTTGCGAATTAATGAGTTGATTTTGCACTATTCGATGCAGTAGGCATTTCTGCACTCAAGTATGTAAAAAAATATTTTTAATTACGAGGAATGGCTTAGTAAACAAGAAATTACTGACAGTCCCTTAAAATGGCTCTTATTAGCAACATTAACTGTATCATAACATTTATCATAAATAATGAATGAAGAAAAACTTTTATGCTTTTTATTTTTTTCTTTAATGTCCAAGGAAGTCGTTCTCATTTATCATCTTTTTCATAAATGATATAAATCGATACGTTCATATTTTATTTTATTGCTTATTTTCGAAATGATAAAAAATTTTCAAACTACATCTACATTATAAATCAAATTAGACATTTCATGGTTACCATCAATGCACAGTGATACATAAGCGAAGGTAGAAATAGTGATGCATACATAGGTGAATGTTGGACTCATATGTCGTCATTTATTGCATGCTTTCTTGTTGTTTCGGTTCACTATACATTGACGTAGGAATAAAAAACCCACTAGAAATAGCGCATCGCTTTTTTTGCTCTTTTCGGTAGTTAAATAAATACGAATTATCGTCGGTGTCATTACGGTTGATGACAAGAGCCATAACGAACAGTAGTTCAACAGTATGCCATCGTTATCGACATAACCTTACGACGACATTCCTTTAAGTACATTCTTTGAGCTCAATGATCTAAAACAATATTCAATTCGCGATTTAAACGAAGAAAGTATCACATTTATTTGGCATCAATTATTGCTTGACGTGGGTGAGTGTGGGTGTGAATGTGCTTATGCATATGTTGATCAATTACCCACAACAATACCTCATATCAACACCTACCATTACCATACCCCCCCCCCCCAAACCAAAACTAACGTAGTGGTCGACTCTGCGTCCCGTGTATAGCTCTCCCTGCTGTATTACACCGTTTTGTATACCCATTTTTCTTGCTCAGAAAACGCCACTTCTGGTAGTCATCATACTTTTCTTATGTTTATATCAACCACTTTTTATGCGAACAGTTTCAAGCAGCTACACACGACTTTTTATTAATTGCATTTGCAATTCCAAGAAAGAAAAGAAATAACATGACGAATATGAGAATAA